AGAAGGCTTCAGGGAAGAAGCCCTGCAGGGCCTCAGGGCTTCAGCAGTAGCGAGTATGCTCCTGCGTCTGAACTGCTGAAGATTATTGTAGCAACTCAGAGGGCCAGTAAGTTTGGCCAAATCCGACTATACAAAGTTGTACCTCCCACACCCTGTTTTTCTAATATTCTGGGACTAACACCACTACTTCTTTTTTTTAATTGGACCAGCTTTTGTTAGTAAGATTGACAAGATTGAAGAGCTCTATGTAAGCTCGAAAGCTAATCTCACTAACAGAAGCTAGCTCAGTAGATGTTAGCTCACCTATCTTCTTTCTCACTTGCCATAGACCAGTGTTTCTCAATCTTTTTTTTTTAAATAAAGTAACCCTTAAAAAAAAGTACCCCCAGTACCTACAGTTTGCAGATACACAGAATTTTTTTCTACCATTGCAACACATTTGTTTAAAACAACTTAATCGTAGCTGGGCGGGTGTTGAAATTTTTGGGTGTAAAAATTACGAAAATAATAAAGCGCTGTAAAACTTAAAACAAAAATTCAGTTTTCTCCAAATTTCAGTTGTTGATGTACCCTCTTCTCCCCCCAGACTTCTCTCGAGTACCCCTAAGGGTACTCATACCACTGGTTGAGAAACACTACCATAGACTAGCAGAATATGTTCATGCCATGCAAGAAACTTTTCATGTTTTACTCACCAGGCTTTCATAATTTTTTGCTCACTACCCCCAACTTTTTTTCTTAGATAAGCTGATCTGATAGAGTGGCAACATGAACTGTTGGCCTGAGTCATGCCCTAAGGCTGTGAAACAGGGGCTCCTGAGTTCTCTCCATAGTTCTCATTGCATATTGATGGGCATATGACTTGCATTTAGTTTCCCTTTTGTGTGATGAGGATAACTAATTTCCTACCCACAGAGGTGTTTATAATGAGTATTTGAACATGATCTTGAAAATGTGTTTGTCACATGGCCATTGTTGCAATGGGTGTGTGTGGTTATACGAAGTGCTTGGCTGTTGTCACGCCCGCCAAGCACTTCACCTGAGCCCTGCCAACTTATCAGTTTCCTCTCGGACTACTACTAGCATTTCAAGCCTCTGAAACAATTCAGATAGCCACCAGCTGCTGCCCTTGTAAATTATGTTATACGAACCTGCCATAAAAATAGTTGAGGAAAATGAGGGCTTCTTTCTTCTGCGAACATGGAATTTCTCTTCCCAGACTGTCAGATTACACTGGCCTACGGATCAGGATAAGCAATATCAGTTCTGCTATCAGTATCGGAGTTAATGCTTGATATCTCTCAACCTTTCAGGGATTTAGTAAAGGAGCTTTATATAATTAAAAAAGGGGGAGATTCCCACTTCTGTAGTGAACAAGCAGTATTTGCTTTTAGCTCTGGAAACATCTGGGATCTCTTCATATGTCATATTTTTATGCAAATTAATATTATTTAGGACTTGTATTATTTACATATCAGTGGAGTGAGTTTGGCTTCTTCCCTCCCTTCCCCCTGCCCTTTTTCATAGAAACCTTTCTAGTTTCTCTTCTGGAACTGACTTATTAGGTGATAGGAAACAAAGTAAAAACGAATGTGCACACATTCAGAAGCATTTCCAAAGTTATATTTTCATAAAATATGCGGCGCATGCAAAATGGTACATAGCATTTTAATAGCTGGAATTAATGTAGTTGTTGCAAATGCATTTTGATCAAA